AAATTACAACTGCTCTTTGAGAGCTTCTTCTACTAGTTTAATATTGTATTATACTGTAATACTGTAAGACCAAAAGTCCCCAAACTCCGAGACTCGCCACGGAATTTGGAAGGTCAACTTTGAGACAAATTTTCTCTATGTTCTTATCGGCGAGTCTACAAAACAAATTCTGCTTTTATATAACCAAATTTAATGAAGATTCTATTAAAACTAACCATACGTTGATTCAGCTTCTATACCTCGAGTTATAGACCATCTAGGTTGGTCAACCTTTCCGGATAGCTAATTCAAATTCGATACAAAATTTCGCGATGTTTTTATATCTGAGTTTACAAAATAAATTCTACTTTTCTATAACCAAATTTCATGAGGATTATTTTAAAACTAATCTTAAGTCAATCGGATTACTGCACGTCGAGTTATAGAGTAAAATAGAAGAGTTCCCAAACTGCGAGACTCCTATTTGGAAGGTCAACTTTGATACAAAATTTCGCGATGTTTTTATATCTGAGTTTACAAAATAAATTCTACTTTTCTATAACCAAATTTCATGAGGATTATTTTAAAACCAACCTTAAGTCAATCGGATTACTGCAAGTCGAGTTATAGAGTAAAAGAGTAGGGTATACTAGTCTACCCTACACTTTGGAAGGTCAACTTTGACACAAATTTTCTCTATGTTTTTATTAATAAGTAGACAAAACAAATTTCACTTTTCTTTAGTCAAATTTAATTAGGATTCTTTTAAAAACAATTACAAGTCGATTCGAGTGAATCAAGTGAGTTACTCGGCTGAAGGAAAAACAGTGATATGACCTGACAGATCTGACAGAGTGTCAAAGTTTCACACTAGACTCTAGTTAACCACGTCAGGCTTAGATTGAAAATTACTTGCCAGGACTGCCTTCTGGCATGCCCAGGTACTTTTCAACCAACCTTAAGTCAATCGGATTACTGCAAGTCGAGTTATAGAGTAAAAAGAGCAGGGTCTCCAACTTTTCAACCCTTGCAGCAAAGCCAGACAAAGTCAATAACTGGTCTGGTAGACCCAGAAAAATGTGATTTTAAACATTACAGTGATAGAGTACTGCAAATTCGTACTGCAAATTCACCTAACATTGAATTCAGAGTTCAAGTAAAGCCTGGCTTCTGGACCTGGATCTAGTCTGGGTTCACCCGGAGAATCAAGTCTTGAATTTTCCAGAGTACGGCAATCCTGAGTACTGCAATTCACTTATTTTGTCCACCTGATCCTCTTTCAGAGTTCAAGTGCATGGTTGCGATGAGTTTGACGAGGACAGCGAGCTTCGCATCAAAACAACCCCAACCGATGAACTGGATGGAGAACCAGAAAGGATTACGATAAGAATGGGGTGTTGATTTTAATGAATGTACTTTTATAAACGATAACCAGACTATCATTTATCGAATACACAAGATTTATCGATTATTACAAGTTTAAAAATCTCATCCTATCCAGTAACATTACCAGGAGCCTTTCTGATATCTCTTCTTATCCACTAACATTACTGGACAAGAAGTAATATCAGAAAGACTCCCAGTAGTCGTGTGAATCCCAGTGAAAATTTCAATCGATCGTTAGTTGCTGAAAAGAATGTTGTAAAGAGACTCAAGAGGACGATCTAGGCAAAAATTCCGGGTTTAAAGTTGAGAGTTAAAGTTGTCAAAACACGCATTACTTATTGGGCAACCTAATATAATTATGTCGTCCAGCTTTACACTAAAATTTTTGAAAAATCTCATAGACAGAATTTGAGGATTTTTAGATGGTAAAATACTAATTTTAGAAGATTTTCTACGTTCAGCGCAAATTTTGGCCTGATAGCTTAAATTACAAAAAAGTTTTGATAAAAACAAAAAATATGCTAAAATTATGTCCGCTACTGTATATGAGTGTTATATATCATTCGAAAGCTGAAGATCTCCTCTACATTTTGGAATAAAAAAAGTTTTTGAATTCATTCAACTTTTTGGGAAATTGATTGCACAAAGGGAGAGGTCGTTTTCCAAAAAAAACCATTCCAGCTTAGCTATTCCTCAAGTTTTCTGGTGCAAAATAACCGCCCAGAAAAGAAAAGAAAAGTAAAGATGCTCTGAAATTGTTATATTTTTAAAAAAAGTTGTATTGATATATCTATTGGCCAAACATCAAACGGTTAACTCAATTTGAGCGGAGCCAAAACTTGATCCAAAGGCACCCTTCCATTTTTTGGCCACCTCTTCTTCTGCGAAGTCAATTTGCCCAAAAGCTGGACAAATTCAAAAGCTTTTTATATCAAAATGTAGAGGAGATCTTCAGCTTTCGAATAATACTCATATATATCTTTTTCTTGATTTCGGTATCTTGAGAAATTTACAGAATGGTAAAAAACGCGCATTCATAACTGGACAACCCAATATAAAAAAAATCGAAAGCTAGCAATCTAAAAACGATTGATTGAGTTCTTGTCTCGACTTTAAACCCGGAATTTTTGCCTAGATCGTCCTCTTGAGTCTCTTTACAACATTCTTTTCAGCAACTAACGATCGATTGACATTTTCACTGGGATTCACACGACTACTGGGAGTCTTTCTGATATTACTTCTTGTCCAGTAATGTTAGTGGATAAGAAGAGATATCAGAAAGGCTCCTGGTAATGTTACTGGATAGGATGAGATTTTTAAACTTGTAATAATCGATAAATCTTGTGTATTCGATAAATGATAGTCTGGTTATCTTTTATAAAGCTTCGGTAAAAACAAAAAATATGCTAAAATTATGTCCGCTACTGTACATCTGTTCGATATCTTGAGAGATTTACAAAATAGTAAAAACGCGCATTCATAACTGGACAACCCAATAATATCAGTCTATAGCTACTAAAAACTACATTCCATTCAGTTTTATAGCAGCTGTAGTTAGCTTTTTTTCTTGTATAAACTTTTTTTGTTTCTTTCCCAAACGTTGTTGGGGGAGTTGTGGCGCTTTAAAATTGATACGATAACGCTAATCCGCTATACGATTCACAACTGATAAAGCTCAACTAAAATCGCTTTTACCACTCAACAACACAAAATTTTGCTCATTTTTGTCAGATTGTGAAAGAAGAGAATGCTACAAATTCTAATTTCCTATTTTTTTCTGTTTTTCATTCACAACTACGAAGCCTATCCTGAGTGCCCGAATGGAGCGGTGAACGATGGAACTCTTTGTTATAAGAGGGTTGCCAGACCCGTGGGGTAAGAAACTGGCAGTGAGAAACTGGCAGTGAAAAACTGGCAGTGAAACTTGATTTTGTTTCTAGTTATAGAGCCTTACACTACAAGACAATTTCTTGTTATGAGTTGACTTCTTTCTGTACTTCAGAGTCGAACTACGCTGAAGCGGAACTTGGATGTAACTTAACTTATGGAGGGAATCTGATGCGAATCGGGAATGCCCTAGCAAACTCTATTGCTTGTGACTTGGCCGACAAGAAAAGAGCCTGTTTGTTCATAATCATAAATACAAGTAGTTATGCACTTTATGTAAAGTATTTTACTAAATTCTTTTCATATTTAAAAATTCCAGCTGTCGGTACGGATATCTATGTCGGAGCTCGCCGTATTAACAATGTTTGGTCGTTACCTGATGGATTGCCGCTTCCGTACATAAATTGGTATCCAGGTACAACTTTGACATGACAATTTCTATAATAGAAGTTGTATAACTTTTTCTTTTTAACAAATGAATCCTCAGTTTACAGGTCAACCAGAGAACACTTCTGGATATGATTGTGTAATGTTGAATCTTTATCACACTAGCTGGTATGCCACGACGTGCGATCAATATGCAAGAAACATTTGTACCTTTCCAATCAAAAAATAATTTCTTAACATCTTGTATAATTTACGTCTAAAAACGTCTATTAAAAGAAGTCTTCGTAAATAAACATTTATTTTCCAAACTTTTTTTCCGTTTTTACCTTGCTTCCGGACAGTTCACCAAGCAAATCATCAAAGCAATCATCAAAGCCGGGATGTTCCGGACAACATATCGTTCTTAGCAGACAATGCTTAGAGTCAAACAAAAAAACAAACACACTTGCTTCGTGACTTGCTCATCTAGAAAATTTAGACCTAAAAGAAATAGTTTAAATCTAAAAGTAAACCAGAAAAATTTTTTCATCAAATTCTTGTATTTAACTATAAATTTTGAAAGTTTTACACAAATTAAACTGAATAGGAAACAAGAGTAGCCAGACTTCATTGCGATTGATACACATTTGAGTTTTTACAGCAATACACGATACAGCAATACACGATACAGCAATCCACTTTCGAGTTTTTCTTCATTGACAAGCAAAAGTAGCTGCTTTGTTTTTTTATGCTTTGCTCGTTTTGTTTTGCTCGTTTTGTTTTTGTTTTGTTTTGTTTCTCCATTGCGTCTCAGAAATGTAAATAGACAAAAAAACAAAATAAAAGCTCTTTATTTACACAATCTTTTTTTGCGATTAGGGAAAGAAAAAGTGTTGAGACAAGCAAATTCGGAGAGTTATCTTGTCGCTTTCGAAAGCACAGCCTCGAAACTCATCACTGATCAATTGGAATTTTTATGGTTAACTAATGAAATTTTCTTACAACATTCATTTAGATAAATCTTTTCTAATATTCCAGCCATATATCTTTTCTAATTTTCTAGCTAAAAGCTTCTCACAAAACGACCAATCGATTTCTAACATCTACCTCAATCCCAAATGGAAAAAGATTGCCCAAATGGGATCGTTGAAATCGTTGACAAGTCCATAAATGTTATTGCCGAAGAACTTTACAACAAATTCGTAAACAATAGTCAAAATTATATAGTATTTGAAAAGATTAAACAATAATCAAGGTTAATTGATTTTTGGAAAAGTTTTTAATAGGTGAAAGTAGGGTTTGAAGCAAGATACATCTATAGACATCGACCATTCATTAGTCTTTATTCATTTGTTTATTTTTTCTTTACATAAATAGAGCTATTTAAGTAAAAAGCTGATAAATTCCTCATAATTGATCAATCCATCGCCATTCAAATCAGCTTCAAGAATCATGGACTCCAACTCGACATCGTCGATCGCCTCTCCATGAACAGCCATCACTTGACGGAGCTCTTCTTTACCAATATAACCATTTTCATCTTTGTCGAGTATCTGAAAAATCGATTTGATAATTTGATTTTCAAGTGATTTATGAAAAAATTTTGTTTTTTGATTTTGTTTTATTCATTTGTTTAATATCTAAACTTTTTCGTTTCTTGCAAAGCTTTCTAATCTTTTTATAAAGCAGCTCAATGCCTTATCGCCTCTAAAACCGAACAAAGCACAAGTTGTAGTCATTTTAAAAAGCTAAAATCGAAAAAATAAAGCTCATTTTACTTCAAAAACTAACTATAAACCAAAACGAGCGAATTTTTAGATGAAACAAACTCGAAAAATCTGTCGAAGATGCGTTCCTTTTCTTGATTCGTTCTCTTTTTGAGCCATAATATGAAGAAATTTCGGGAAATCAATTGTTTTTTCAGGGAATTCCTGAAGCTAGATTGAGATTTGATTCCCCTGTAACTCACTTTTTGTTCAACTTTCGTCAAATGATATCCAATAGCTCGCAATATTTGCCCTAAATCATCACCAGAAATCGTTCCATCTCCATTTTTATCATGTTGAGCAAAGACTTCTTTCAACTCGCTCATTTCTTTCATAGTTGCATAAAAGTTGAATAAAAATTGATGTAATATATAGTTTTCGAGATCGTTTGAGAATAAAGAATAAAGAATTAGAATAAAGAATTAGAATAAAGAATAAAGAATAAAGAATTAGAATAAAGAATTAGAATAAAGAATTAGAATAAAGAATTAGAATAAAGAATTAGAATAAAGAATTAGAATAAAGAATTAGAATAAAGAATTAGAATAAAGAATTAGAATAAAGAATTAGAATAAGGAATTAGAATAAGGAATTAGAATAAGGAATTAAAATAAGGAATTAGAATAAGGAATTAGAATATTTTACAAAGATTATGTTATTTCAGATAAATACTTGATAGAAATAAAGGAAAGATTGGCTAGAGCTGTTTTCAAGTCTAGTATTTTGTGGAGAAGAATGATTTTTTGGTTTTAAGATTAGAAAGACTCTTTCCAGGCCGCAAATTGAACCGTGGGAAGTTAATGAGTCTGTGGATAAAGGGGAATGGTTTTGAGAGGAAGGTGGCGAGAGAAAGGAGAAAGAAAGGAGAAAGAAAGGAGAAAGAAAGGAGAAAGAACTCGAAGTGAAAGAGAGTAGTGGAAAGAGGTCGATATAAAGTTCTTGATTAGATCTAGCAGCCAAGCAGCAGCTAGCAGCAGTCAAATACAGCCGTTTTCTAGTTTTTCTTAAACCATTGACAACTTTTAAATGGTAGACTTGTGAAGAAAATGCTTGTGTATGATGTAAATTGAAAAATTCTTTCTTTAAAGAAGCAATCCTTTTCCTTTTCACCGTTGCGTGACAACACATGAGTAATGTAGTCTGAGAAAAGATTGGAAATCTATTTTTGGTCAACAAAAACACGAGGATTCACTTGTTAAGAAAAATGAATTAAAGAATTTTGTTATTATTAAGGTATTAAGGGCGAATGCAAACCATATACCGTATTTTCTGTAATATTAATGCGCACTACTATTTTTTCAACTCCCCTCCATCCTGCACTACTATTACAGACTGCACTATTATTAGGGTGGTGCAAAAGAAACTGCCGATTTGACGGTAGATTCAAAAAAAAAAGATGGCGTTCGATGGTGACATGATCACAATGGAATATTTTGGCAAGATCTCGAGCAGATTGGCATGGATCGGCCTGAATAACGTCCCTCAGCTTGGCTTCTTTCACGACTTCTGGCCTCGAACCGTGCTCGTAATCTTCCAAAGTCTCGTCTCCCTTTCGGAATCGTTGAAACCAAGTCTGACACTGCCTGAGAGACAAACTGCCATCTCCGAAAGCAGCACAGAGAGAACGATGCGATTCGGCAGCAGACAAATCAATATGCGAACAAAACATAAAAAAATAATGCGTTTTTATTTCGTTTCTGATAAATGAGAGCTGATACCCCTGATATTCTTTTGCACCACCCTAATATTATAGAGTGCACTACTATTACAGAAAATACGGTATTCTCATAGGAAATCATGACAAGACGAGCAACACCACCGAAATTTGAAATGATAGAAACCCTGCTGGATAATCAGCAAGAGATTCGGCTGGAATACCTGAAAGTGCTTCTGAGTTAATTGAAGATCAAAATAAAATAGCTACCTGAGGATATGAGGATAATCAAATAGAGTAAACAGTGAAATGAATGAGCAAAATGTGCACAAATAGAGACAAATCTCCATCATGTAGCTCAACCAGATAAACGAGCCGACTCCATCCCTGTTGATCCTTGTTTGATCACTGTATCTTCACTCTTGTATTGTTGATGTTGATGTAAATGACAAGTTGGATTTCCATTCGAATCGATAGTTTGCTTTCGTTCATCTACTCTATGAGTGAACATTTTGATTTTGAATCAACCAAGAACTTGCTTTTGTTAGTTTGGTTTTGGTTTTGATTTTGGTTTTGCAGCTTTTGAATTTGTTGTTGAAAAAGGCGCAAAAACAGACGATTAGCACCACGTTTTTAGTAAGTGAAACCTTTAAAAAACAAACGATTATTTTCCATGGTAACACAGGGCTTTCTAAAGCTTTTATTTAACTTTATTCCTCATTCACTTTGATTTTTTTTCACTTCAGGCAACGGATAGCCGAGGGTGAGATAGTCGAAAAAAGAAGAAATTCAGGTAACGTCTCATCAATCGGGGATCACCCTCCAATTTTTCCCTTTCACTCACGAGTTCTTTCTTTCCGATAGTCGAATGACAGGTTCGGCCCGAGCTCAGCTTATTACTGATCTGTAAAACCATGATTTAATTTATTTAAATCTTTTGATCGATATTATTGGGTTGGTGAATTGAAAACTGCGGACTATTGTCATATGTGACAGTTTGAGCACTTTCTTCAAAAGAAACCCATTTTGGTGTCAATGGAAAAGTTGTAGAGAATCAAAAATCAAGCTTGTATCCAAATTTTCAGAACGATTCAAAAACTGGTTTTCAAGGAATGCGAAATTTACGAATTTTCACAAAACTTGCAACAAATCTTGCATTTTAAGCGAAACTACTAAGTGTATCTTTTTGGAAATTTGGCTATAAGCCTAATTTTTGATTCTCTACAACTTTTCTATTGACACCAAAATGGGTTTCTTTTGAAGAAAGTGCTCAAACTGGGATCTCCAGTCTCCATCTCCAGTCCTCAATTTTTGAGTCTCACACTTGTCTCACACACAAACCAAAATCCTACTACGAAAGAGGAATCCGCAAAATTGCCTTTAAAATGAGCTGAAGTCGTCAATAATAATGGAATTATAATAATGGAATCATTTGGAATGAATTCATGGTTTTATGTTGAATAAATTTTAGTTCAAAGTCCCGCAGTTTTCAATTCACCAACCCAATAGATCGGACGTTCGATTTAGAGTGAATTAAGGTCCAACGTTCGATCTAGAATCAAGCTGATTACTCTAAGACAGGCATCCGATTCAGAGTAAGATTTAGAGTGATCGGCTTGATTCTAGATCAGACGCTAGACCTCACTTCACTCTAGACATCCGATCCAGACTTAGACGATCCAGAGTTAGACGATCCAGACGATTCTAGATCAGACGTCCGATCTAGAATCAGTCTAGATTGAACGGATTCCTAGATCGGACGCAACAACTATAGTAGATTATTGGTCAAGAATACAACAAGACTGGCTTTGTTCTATCCCAAGGATCAGCGACTGATTCCAAGTGATTTTTAATAGAATAGTGTGTGTCACTTGTACCAATTTAGCACTAATATAATCAATAATAATGGAAATTATTTCGAATGAATCCATGGTTTTATGATGAATAGATTTTAGTTCAAAGTCCCGCAGTTTTCAATTCACCAGCCCAATCGAAAACTAAACTCACGAATCGAATGCTCTCTCTGTCAACCCCAACGTCATCAAAAAGTTGCTCGAGATCCCGAATGAGAACCGCTGAATCGCTGCTGTTGTAGTTGATGAGCACATAGTCGTCGATCATTGTCCCGAACTCACATCGCCTATGAACAAATGGGAAACTTGTAGAAATATGTAAAGCCAAGATCAGCGGCTGACTGATGAATTGGTTTGGCAAAAAAAGCCATTTGATTTGGCAGAAAAAGCAATTTGATTTGACAGAAAAAGCCATTGACATTTGATTTGACAACTCACCAATTCTGAGGTAAAAAGTGAGCATTCACATGCGATCTCGGCTGGCCAGACACCCCGAAAAGTCCCCTCAAGCGATAGTCCTCGGAATTTTGCTCCAACATTTCGAAGATGCACGTCAAATTCTGACATCCACCGCACTTGTTAGCGGTTCTAAGCGAGTCTTTTCATTTGATTTCAAAATCCAAACGCTCACAGACACTGATTCGTGTAAGCTGACATGAATTTCTCCATCGGTTCGCGAATGAGCGCAAATTTCGTGATGTCCTCCATTTTGCGCCCCAATTTCCATGCGACCTGGGGCCAGGTGTCGAGTTCGTTGTACCCCAGACATGCTCTGAATACAAAAAAGCAATGTAAATAGAGGATTTTGAAATAATTTACATGTGGAAGGCTGTCCATATTCTAATAGAGCCACTTTTTTCTGTTCACTAGACATGCCGATCCGATGGATTTTCTGGGATCGGATCGGTCGGATCAGAAAGATCGGATCGGATCAGAAATATCGGATCGGATCAGAAATATCGAATCGGATCAAATCAGAAAGATCGAATTGGTCGGATCAGAAAGATCGGATCGGTCGGATCAGAAAGATCGGATCGGATCAACCCGATAAAATTTCTCTTCGAATCGGATCTGATTGGTGCTGTTTTAGATAAAACACTTAGTTTTCTGAGAGTGACTTATTGTAAAGGCCATAAACGGCACGATAGCGACGAGAAAAATAAATTCAGGTGTTTAGACTGGAAAAATTCTATAAATCCGATGATAATCTGGTCCAAAATCGAATAGAAATTTTTATCAGATCGGATCGTCAATCATTAGAAAGTGCTTTGGTCGGATCGGTCGGATCGGGTCGTCCAAAAAGCCTCACTAGAGATCGTTTTTTATTTACCACCGCGAGTTTCGAAGTGAAAACTAGCCTATTTTGTAGTAAATTTTTTGCTGATTCCGAATATCTAGGTCTAGGTAATGTCAAAAAAAGAATTTTTTTGAAATAAAAAATCGACAGCGGGGACCACAGGGATTTTTTAGGAAAATTTCTCTGGACGCTCCGGGTAAGAAAATGTTTTCACTCTAAAACGTGTTCTACATACATTTTAAGCCAAGGGCTATCGTTTAAAGCATTTTTCAAGAAAAAATAATTGATTTTGATTCATTTGTGAGACCCTTACCTACTTTTTTGCCCGACCGACCGATTTTGAGGGGTTGAAAAATAGAAATGCCGGTCGTTCTATAAGAGTTTTTACGGTAAATTAGTGTTTACTGTGCTATGCTATGCGGTTTCCAATATGGCTATGCGGTTTCCAAGATTCCAAAAAGCAAAAGTCTGACCCAACACCGAACTCGAACCGGGGGGCAAAAGCCGAGCGCCAAGCGCATTAACCACTTGTTTAGGAGACGACAGATGTTTAGGAGACGCAAGATCGCTTGATATTCGTGTGGTAAGGTAATTAGCGCAACAGTCAAAAACTGCTTTTACACACAAACTATACACACAAACTTCAAACGGATTTAATTCGAGAATTTGAACCCATAACACACAAAAGATCTAGATATTTGAAAGCAGATATTGGATCTAGATATTTGAAATCAAAATTTACTACGAAATAGGCGAGGTTTCACTTTGAAACTCGGTGATAAATAAAGAACGATCCCTAGTCCCTAGTCAGGATCACCTCAATCAATCCGATCCAATTCGCATGCAGTTTCTGCCAATGAAAGCCCCACCCTCGACCCACCTCCTCGTGTCCCATTGCTCATAAAAAGACCATTTCGAGTTGAGAATGCGCTGTGGTTCGTGCAAATAGCACATGATGGCCATCAGAATGGTCGACATGTTCTTGAATATCGAGCACGCAGTTAGACCATATTTCTTGGCGATCTGCATTCTGTTTTATCATGTTGCTGTTGTTGTTAGCAAATAGAGCGTTTGATATAGATAAATGATAATTTCTTGAGCAAAAAACTAATTGTGCAATGCCTTTTTGCACGTCTCAAATGTCTCACCTTATATTGCGATGGTAAATAAACGAATGGTGGCTGTAGGTGACAAGTCTTTTCATTTGAACAGAGAACATCGAATATTTCAATGGCATTCTTCAATTCTCTCTCTTCAAGTCTCGAGATTGCCGATCGAATTGTGGCCCTTTGAGCAGCATTTATATGGAAGGATTGTTCGATTTTCTTCTGAAAACTTTTGAAAAAAACTTTAGGGGAAGAAAGTTTCCTGATTTCTTTTCTTCTGTTCTTCTTTCTTTTCTTTCTTTTCTTCTCAACCTAATACTTGGCTATATTTAGATGCTTTTTTGGTTTATATTGTTTGAAATTATTTGAGTCACCTGTAGACTTTGAGTAGGTTTTTCCATTTTTACACCGAGTTTATCTTGACTTGACAATTCCCTCTTGGCGTTGTGCTAAAAAGGGAGGTTTTTGGATAAAAATGAAATGAAATTGACCAAATAATTGAGATTGTTCGAATGATTCGTGGTCTCCAGGTAGTAGGTGGTGAAAAAGTGAAAGCTGAGGCCGAGGAGAAAACCGAAGAGCATCGAGAATAGATTGGGGCGTTTCATCCGCATCTTAGCCCAGTGTATGGCTTAATTAAGAAAAAGAAATGGCAATTCTAGCATTTCGAATTTCCTGGTTTTCTGATTTCTGACGGCAAAAAGGCAGAAAGTTATTGTTCTGAGGTAGGGGTTCTGAGTTCTGAGGTATACCCCTACCTCAGAGGTATACCCCTACCTCAGATGTATACCCATACCTCAGAGGTATACCCCTACCTCAGATGTATACCCATACCTCAGAGGTATACCCCTACCTCCGAATTTGTATTTAAGCGCCTTAAAAATAACTGTTATTGAAAGTTAATGACTAGTTAGACCTAATTATGATCTAATTAAGTGAGCCAGAGAGCATTTAAAGAGCTCAAAGAGCCTAAAGAGCCTAAAGAGCCCAAAGAGCTTTTTAAAGAGCTCAAAGACAAGGAAATGGTAAAAGCTAGTAGACATCAATGTCTACCGTAGTCCGATCGGTTGATCTTTCGATTCGGCGATCGGCAAATGAAAAGATCAGCAGCCATCTATGCACCCTCACCCTTCTAACTAAGGACTTTTCGTTGTTTACCTACTAAATACGGGTTTTTCCATTCACATAGCCACCCGGGGATGCAATCGGGTAAATATCGTGTGTAAACAATGAAAAGCCAGCCAGACACAGAGCTTTTCACTTTTACCGTATTCCACGGATCGCCGATCCCCTCCCTATTCGGTCATTTCGATTGATTTCTGAATAGGGGAATAGTGGCATCACTGTTCGCTCCCACATTACACTCAGAGACAGAAGTGTAATGTGAGAGACACAAGACAGAGCACAGAATTCAGTAAAAGCTCGATGTGTGCACAGACGTTTCCTGAGGTTGGAATCCGGTAAACAAGCGAAACAAAAACAATAAAAGAATAAAACCGTCTACACGCGCGGGGGATTCCCTGGGGGTGAAATATTGAGTAAATATCTGTCTGGTGAGGCGATGTTTGACTGATCAGTGATCCCATTTTTTAAACGATCAGAAATCAACGGAATCGGTCAGAAATGTTTCGGTGAAAGATCTTGGCTCTTTGATATGAAGACAGATTGACAGACACTATGGGCTATGCTCGGTCTGGAACTGCGAGTGACTTTCATATCTTATAGGCTCTCGAAAGTATTCAGAGATAGTTCATTTATAATTGTTAATGTACAATAAATGTTAATGTACAATAAATGTTAATGTACAATAAATGTTAATGTACAATAAATGTTAATGTACAATGTACAAATGTTATTCAGTTAAAAATTCGTCTTTGTTCTTGTCTGCCTTAAAATCAGAACTTTATTTTGTTGCGACAATTTTGGCGCACCTTGTAGTATTTATATATTATATTTATTTATACCCAAAGGGGATACTCAATAAAGCTGATGAGTAATGACTTAAGACCAAAAAACACGGCATTCATCTGTATGACGTGTTGAAACAATCACTTGATCTTGATGTCCATGACTTCTCTTATCTCTGAGTCAAGCATTGAAAGCGGCTCTCTTCAAAAGAATCTCTTTAGTTTGATCAAAATTTGGAAAGAAGTTTGCTGTTTTTGCTGTTTGCTTTAAGTGCGCTGACTAGGTGGGGGAATTTTTGTAGAAATTGATAAGACGGTGCAAATCGTTTTTGAGCCGCCGCTTGCAGGCTATTCATAAGATTTTATCTCGCTGACTCAACAAATTTCACGAAGTTGCACAACGGCTGAAGATTTACATATAAAATTGGCTTTAATACTGTATACTGTAAAAGTTTACTTCATTTCACAATGCCTAGTTTCTCAATTTTCTTTTTGATTACATTTGGCGTATGGCAAGTTGTTGCAGATAATTGCATCGATGAGGTTTGGGTTTATTCTTTAATCAATCAAAATAAATTAAACGAAATTTGAGTTGCTCAATAAAAACAAAGAGGAAAATTGGTATTTATTGTTGTATCTGGCTTAAATTTGGAATTCAATTTGATAAAGAGGCTTTAACTGGTCATCAAAATCTTTAGCTTTAACTAGTCAGATCAAAATCTTTAGCTTTAACTGATCAGATCAAAATCTTTAGCTTTAACTAGTCAGATCGAAATCTTTAGCTTTACCTGGTCAGATCGAAATCTTTAGCTTTAACTAATGTCGGCTAACCAATCATATATTTGATCAACATGTTACTTAAATCTACTTTATAGAAGAAAACTAACAAAAGCAAGTGCTTGGTTGAAATTATCGCCATGTTTACTCGCAATACACATTTTTAGTTATGTGACTTGAAAGGCGCGATTCCTTTCTCATCTCCCGGCTATCCTGGACCTTACAATGCCAGCGATGCCTCTCTGTTTGTCAAAATAATCAATTCAATCTACAAAAATGACTTTAGAAAATTGCTACAAGTTAGCATGGACATCGACTCAAATTACGTGATGGGAGTTCGATTTTTTCGACTCGATTTAGCTCCAAATGATTGCATTCATCTCTGTGAATATGATGACTTCCAGACGTGCAGGTCGGTTGGTTCGAAAGATAATGGGATTCTTGAGGAATCTATGTTTAATATAGTGAATAATAAAATATGTATTTCACACAAAGCTTTCAGCAAAACCGGCAAGTTCGACTTTTTGTGCTCGAGCATGGATGACGGGAGATTCACTTACTATTATACAAGATCAAGTAAAAGTTGTCTATTTGTTCTTAGCTAACTAGGAAATTGTTGTCAAGTTAAGGTGGGCTTTTTGAAGGCCAAGTCAGTCTAGGCCAAGCCTATCTGATAGAGTTTTTTATGCTGATTCCGAATCCGGTTTTCAATTTCCCGGAAGAGCTCTGGAACGCGAGATATTTGCGTCTGTGTACATTCATTAAAACAACAATGAGACAAATAATCTCTGGTATCATTGACTGAGCCCTTCCCCCATCGAATGGGCTGATCGAAAGGAAAAAGCGTACAAAATTTGGCCCTAATTTTGGTAGGTTTATAAGGTTGGCACGTGTTCCCTCAAATGTGAGCTGGTGGCCTAATAGATAGTCTGCTGGCACGTCTGTTGTCTGCTGGCATGTCTTCTGTTGATTGCTGGTTCGGATCCGCTTAACTGCCAAAGTTCTTTTCCTCTTTTTTTTGCGAAACATTTCTAAACACTTTTCATGATATTGCAAGAGCAAATAACTTTCTTTCATAAATTTGAAAAGGCACAACTTGTTTACTTTATGGAAATTTTGAAAGATTCAAAGAGCAGAAATAGATTCAAATATTAGGTTGATGCATAAGTCTTTTCGTTCCTTTTCGTCTGCCGTTTCAAGCCAACAAATGCACGAATTAAACTACGGTTGATTTCATTAGAAAAAGCAATTATTTTTCTGCAAAATAACATTAAAACGGGTTTAAAAATATTGAATGCCTGGATTTTCTTGAGAGTATGAAGTCGGGTAGTCAAAAAGGGCTAACTCGATGATGCGGTTTAGACACCTTAGCTAAAGAAAACCTATCTTCGTGTCAATAGATAAAAGATAGAGAAAAAAAACGTTTGATATTTCGCCAAAATTTCAGAGAAATTCATTCAGCCAATTTTTCCGTAGAGTTTTTTATAGATTTTTACGAAAAAGGCGTTTTTCACTCTCGAATTTGCTTCAAAGTCAACCGAAATTCATTTAAAAAGATGCAAATTGAACAAAAAAACACTTTTTTTATAGAGCAAACTATAGATTAATTGGTGAATTTGTTACTTTTTAACAGAAGTACGAAAAAAACGAAAAGACTTATGCATCAACCTAATAGTTGAGTCATGATGGGTCTACTTTTTAGCATTAGGTACTCCTACTTTGAATTCATTGGAAATCATTCAAAAGTCTAAAAAGATTTCCCGCAAGAGTCGAAAGTTTTTCTGTATTGACGTGACTGTATTGACTCTATCGACTGAAAGTGACTGTATTGACGGCGAATCTCATTCGTATTGAATGCCTTGTGTTGTGGAAGCATCTAAAATATTGAGTTAAAGTTTTAGAAAAGAATTTGGAACTGACTGCTCTTTCTTGGAATAAGAGCTTAAAACCAATCCTTGATTCGTTTAAAGTTAAATAACTGACGAATTATTCTCTTTCCGAGGCCCGGACATTTCCTGTTTTAGAAACGACGGTTTTTTCGTTTTTCGTTTGATATTTCGCCAAAATTTCAGAGAAATTCATTGAGCCAATTTTTCCGTAGAGTTTTTTATAGATTTTTACGAAAAAGGCGTTTTTCACTCTCGAATTTGCTTGAAAGTCAACCGAAATTCATTTAAAAAGATGCAAATTGAACAAAAAAACACTTTTTTTATAGAGCAAACTATAGATTAATTCGTGAATTTGTTACTTTTTAACAGAAGTACGAAAAAAACGAAAAGACTTATGCATCAACCCAATAATATAAATCATAGAATTTAAAGTAACAAATAAAAGAAAAACTCTCAAAACACCGATGGACGCCGAATAAAAGCGCAATTGCTACATGAAACTTCACTACAATCATTTGAAACAATTTCCACTGCAAAGCAATATGTTAATGCCGTTAAAAGTCAACTTAAAAGCGTTAAAAATCAACTTTATAAACCTACCGAAATTGGGCCCAAATTTGCCAAATTGTACGCCAAATATCTCGCGTTACAGAGCTCTTCCGGAAAAGTTAAAACCGGATTTGGAATCAGCGTAAAAAACTCTATCAGCAAGGCTTGGCCTAGACTGACTTGGCCTTCGAAAAGCCCAACCTGACTTGAGACTCAACTGACACTCAACCCTAGCAACCTTCTTTTCTAAATTCTTCTTTCTAGACGAATTGTACATGTTCTTGGCTCGCTATCAAAACTCGAAACCCAGTGACAACGGCACCTTTCCGGGTGTTTTTGGAGAAGTCGTACGATTGGGTTAGTGTACCTTATAATCCAAGGTTTTTTTAGGAGAATTTATACATTGCGTTCCAAAACTTTAGCCCCAACCCATTTTTTTTTATTCAAAACCATGCTAAAAAAGACCGCTCACACCATTGCACAGCCGCCACCATAGTTTCTATGGTGCAAAGAGATCTCGCTCAAACACTCGGCGCTCGCCGAACAGCCCAGACCTTAACACCATTGAGAACGTTTGAAGCAATATGGCAGATCTATAAAAATTCCGGCCAATTCACATTGGTTTACGATCTAAAGTTGCATTTTCACGAGCCTGGCTTGGTATTCCTACGGACTTGAAGTAGTGACTCGAAAGACGGAGAGGGATCGAGGCAAGCAGTGACTTGACTCGATCCCTCGTCGTCTTTTGATTGTGGAAATGAAGCACGGAGATCAAACTGATTTTTAATTGTTAAGCTTTTTAATTATATACTCATTATTTCAATATAATTGCTAAAATGTTTGACAAAAAGTAGAAAAAAAAGTTTTGCAACGATGCTTTCTTCGAAAAATACATTTTCATAAAAAAAACTGAAATGCTATTTTGGTGTTAGTTGTGTTTTTAGATGATTTTGAATCGGTTTTGCATGATTTCAAACAAAATAGCTTAATTAATGAGCTAGAATCGTCGATTTTAAATCAAATAATGCCGTGGAGGTGGAGCTAAAGTTTTGCAAAGCAATGGTACAATGGTACTTTTTAAAATCAATTTATTTATTATCAGATGCGAAATCATTACTTTGGAATGATGCATGCAAAGAGTCGGCGAGCTTGAACGACAGCCCGTACACTTTGATTTCTGATCGTAAGTAATCTCAACTTCAACTTTTTATCCTTATTCACCAATTGCAGTCGACTCTCGATACAAAGATTTTGAAATCCTAAAGCACGCCCTTGGTTTCTGCGTAGCCAAACGTAGCCAAACGTAGCCAAGCGTAGCCAAACGTAGCCAAGCGTAGCCAAACGTAGCCAAGCGTAGCCAAACGTAGCCAAGCGTAGCCAAACGTAGCCAAACGCCATCGTTGACCACAGCCAAACGCAATCGTTGGCCATTCAGGGCTATGCAAGAAATTTGGCGCACTTTTTAGAATCGTTAAATCATTAAATCGTTAGATCATTAAATCGTTAGATCATTAAATCGTTAAATCATTAAATCGTTATATCGAGAGTCGATTGTAGCTTATTTCTAGATTTCAATGTTGATACTTTTACCTACACCAATGCATCATTTGACGTGAACTGCCAAACGAAATTCTCCACAAAACACTCAATGATTCGAGTCGTCGTCTACACGTTTCGTTCATTTCTCAACGAGCCGATCGAGCTGACTGGAATCGAAGCAAATTCCACCTCTCCGATCACAATCTCTATCAAGTAGAAGCTCTTTCTTTTATAAAACTCTCCTCTTCTAGTGGATCAGCAGTGCGTCGACATGGCCTGCCTCGGGCGTATTATTTCAAAAAAGACCTCACTTTGACTTACAAATTCACCGCCCGAAGCTACTACTATTACATTGTGTTGACCGGATATGATGGTAAAGGGTTTGATCTGAAAAATGTCTTCAAAAAATAGCTATAAGAGTGAAACCGGTGCTCAGTTGAATAGACAGAACAGAACAACCAGTTCAGATGCCGCAATCTACGACAGTTGCCTCAACAATGGTGTCATCGACATGAGCAAACAATCATCAATTCCCTTCTCAGCCATTCCCCTTTCAATGCAAGCCTATAATCCGAACTCAAACTGTCACTGGAATTTCACGAATCTTCCTCCTAATCACCAATGGCAATTGTATGTGGAAGCTTTCAAAACGGAAACTTGTTGTGACGTGCTGGGAATCGATTCCCCACTTGATCCAACCTTTGTAAGCTCTATTCTCAAGCGCTATAGCTTGAGCACACAAAAAACTTTAGCAACGGCAACAGTTGAGCGGTGACTACACATATTATTTGTATTCTGGGGCGAAAGACTTTCAAATGAGTTTTCAAAGTGACGGCATCGAATCCTACAATCGGATGAGTGGCGTTGTCGGGATTATCAGTGAGTTATAGGCATATATTATAGGCATACAGTGGAACCTCTCTATAACGTAACTCACAGGACGGCTATAGCTTACGTTATATAGAGGTTTACGTTATATAGAGTGCCGTTTTATATAGCTTAACGTCGGCCGGGACCGGTCACGCCTTACGTTATAGAGAGGTTTACGTTATATCGAGGTTCGTTATAGAGAGGTTCGACTGTATATTTATGGGTGCCTATATTGCCTTATAATCCTTAAAGGTTCAAAACTCAGGGTATTCGATCTACTAAGCTGAATATCTATAGTTATTGCTTCTATTAAAGGCTGAGCTTCTGTTAGAATAAATGCATATCAATAAGTACATATCAATTTCAGATTGCACATGCCCTCCAGCTTCGTTAAAGCTAGCAAACGGTGATTGGACGAATATCACTTACGGTTATGGTGGCGAGTTCTCCTATTGTCTTATGACAACTTGCAGCAGTACTTTGTAGGCTTTTAAAGTTAAATTTTAAGACTAGAATCTCTTTGTAAGTTGAAAAACCGAAAAACTCGTTACAGAACGTTTGATCGAGGCTCGCTTGTTCGATACAAGTTCACTTACATGACCGTTGGTTGGAACAGCCTCTCGTTGACAGATGCCTCCTTCAAAGCATTGTGAGACCTCCTTCAAAGCATTTGAATTGATTTTTATGTTCGCTTCTTTTAGAAATGTGTCTTCAAATCAAGGAATGATTGAAGGTGTCAACGGGAATGATTTCCTCAAAATAAACTACAATGATACTTCAACAATCAGCTATGAGACGATGGGTCTTAGTCGATATGGATTCGCTCTATCAGCTCAAATCTTGAACTGTGGGATGATTAATAATAAATCTTGTAATAGTTGTTTTTAGACTCTTTACTAGCAACAATAAATGTGAACCTTTGCAAGGATACGTTCTTCGACGCCCACTCGATGATGTTGAGCGACAAGTTCACAGCTGTTGTTTATCGATTTTCGAATGCTGATTGCTCATCGTAAGCTAAACGATTAGGTTTTCGGGGTTTGAATGCTAATTTCTATTCAGGGAAAAGAATTCCGGGAAAAGGACAGGGAGGTGCTGGTAGATAAGCTGAGTGCTTATGCTTACAAATTGCTTTCATTTATCTGATTCAAATGCAAGACCAGAAGTTCATCATTCGAGCTGCTTTATGACTTTATGACTTTAAAAAAGGCCGGATCTCTGCAAGGGATACGCACATTTCAATAAAGAAGGCTTTTGGCGAAATAGTAATTAGCGAAAGTGAGTGCTATCGATGGTTTGAGCGATTTTGAAATGGCAACGAGGACCTTCACAATGAGCCCCATCCTGGCCACCCTTAAAAGGTTTAAAATAATGATGTGCTAAAGGTTATCGAAGACGATCCCACTTTAACAACTCGAGAACTAGCAGAGATATTCAATCTTCATCATTCAACAATTGCCGACCATTTGCACCCACTTGGCGAAATTCGGTGCGGGAAGGGGTTTCACGCAAATTGACGCAAGACAACAAAACTATACGTGTTAATTTCAGCTTTATATTGCGTCGAAAGTCTAAATCTGGAGATTTTTGAAACTCTATTCTAACTTCTGAAGAAGCTTGGATCTATTATGATGATATGACAAGAAAGAAACAGTGGCTATCTCCAGGCAAGCTCCACAAACCACTCCTAAACCCGATATTCATGGAAAGAAGATCATGCTTAGTTGCTGGTGGAATTCTAAAGGCTTAGTGTATTATGAGTTGGTGAATCCTAAACATAACATTATTGCCGATCTTCATTCAAAACAAATGATGAGAGTTAGCGATTCTCTGAAGAAATTGGGCGTCGATCCGTCAAAAGTCCGTTTTTTTGCACGACAACGACAAAAAAACAACTCGTATAAACGGCAGTTCTTTTTTTGATCCATAAATTCGAAGCTGGTGGTTTTTGGGATTCGATTTTGACATCTGATGAAACTTGGATTAATTACGAAAATGTCAAAAAAAGAACAAATGGTTATCTACCGGACAAACCCCCTTTCCCTCAAACCACTCCCAAACCTGATATTCATAAAAATAATGCTCTCCTTCTGGTGAAACTCGAAAGGGTTGGGGCACTATGAGTTAGCTAATCCAGGAGAAAACATTGATGTTGATTTCTACTCAAAACAATTGACTAGAGTTAACGATGCTTTAAAGAAATTGGAACGAAATCCATTAAAGATTCGATTTTTGCACGACAACGCAAAACCGCACACGGCAAAAGTCACTCAAAAAAAAACTCGACGAGCTTGGCTTGGCTTGGCTTGGCTGGAGCTTGGCTTGGCTGGAGCTTGGCTTGGCTTGGCTTGGCTTGGCTGGAGCTTGGCTTGGCTTGGCTTGGCTGGAGCTTGGCTTGGCTTGGCTTGGCTTGGCTTGGCTGGAGCTTGGCTTGGCTTGGCTTGACTTGGCTGGAGCTTGGCTTGGCTTGGCTTCTCACACACGCTTTATTCACTTGACTTAGCTTTCTCAGATTACCATTTGTTTCGGTCGTTAAAACAATTCCTTGGAGGAAAATATTTCGACGATCACGCTCAAGCCACAAAAGCGTTTAATTTCTACTTTGCCCACCAGGACGCTCAGTTTTACAAGAATGGGATCAGGGATTTGCGCCGAAGATAAAGAGAATCGACGAAAATGGCAAATACCTTACTGATTAGCCTCTATTAGCTGACATTTTCTATTCCTATTTCTTTAATAGACTATTTTGTTCAAAAATTCGAATTCAAAATCCGATAATCTAATAAAGTTTTACTAAATAAGAATATTGTTTACTCAAGCTTTAAATTTAGAAACAAAATCTTGGGCTATTTCTTTGCTCGAATAGCTAAAGAACCGTTGGTGACTGTCTATGAGGGAGAGCTCGACACGGGCACTTATGTACCCATCAATAATCGGTTAGTTTCTTCTAAAACCAAAGCCTTTCATTAAATCTGTTCAATTTTTAAACAAAACTCCTTTTAGAGAGTATCAGTGGGACACTCTGGCCTTCAAGTCAAACGTGGTGACGGCGCGAATTGTGAGAACTGATGCAGCCTATTCGCCGGTTAATATGCTCTTCACAACTGGTAGCTTGCGTTTGTCATAGTCATTAAATAGTCATTATTGTGAAAAAGTATAAAACAAGCTGATAAAGTAAGCTGATCAAGCCCTTCTTTCAGACAGCAACCTTTGGGTGTACCAGGGCTACTACCGATGCTTCATGGGCGCCAATATCAACATTGATTATGGCAATCATCCGGCTGGCACGACAATCGTCGCCTACAGAGGAGCCGTCGAGCCACAAGATTACCCAAAACTCTTTGGCAGTGCATTGCTTGCGTTGACTCTTTTAAACGACACATTGCCTCACATTGAGCTCTTCCAAGGCGCCTCTTTAAAAGCCGAGGATCGTATTTATGGGTGGGTTTTCGGCACGAGTTTGGTAGATAAACAAGTAACATTGCTTTAAATCAAATATATAATAATTAAATCCAAATTTATTTGCTATAACTTTACCGTTTTACCTCTAATAGTAGCGCCCCGCCCCGCCCGGATAGTCGCGTAGTCGCAAAAAATTTAAATAATATTTTTCTAAGCACCCATAATTTCTAAAACTACATGTTTGGTATCAAAAAATAGCCCTGAATTTCAGCTTTCATTTGATTTATAAGCGAACACTGTAGCATAAACGGTTGGCGAGAAAAACGCGTTTAAAGTTAGACTACGCGACGCTCCGACCGTTATTAAAGGGCCGAGGGGCGCTGCTATTAGGGGTATTACGGTGTAAATGTTTCTTTTAACTCCAGCGGTCCCTCCACTTGTGACAACAATCAGACAGCAAACGTCGCGTTTCCCGAACGCGTTTTTGGCACCTATATGACGATCAAAGTCGGATCTGGAGTGCCTCGAGATGCCGTGTTGAGATACTACTGTAATTCGGCATGTAAGTTTACAATTATTTTCTCAGCAACCTTTTATCTAGATCAGCTTTATTTCGATGTTTCAAATGATCTGCCGGCTGTTGTCAATGTGCCAAAGTATGAAAGCGGCGGTGTGAAGGCGATTTCGTGGGAATTCTCAAATGTAATTGAACTTTCAACTAACAATGGAAGGTGTACTGGCTGAGCCGGTCAAATGCTATGCGATCTAGACGCAGAATTTTATGCTGATTCCGAATGTGTATTCCGTTTTGGCTAAATGACAATCTGCCAGGAGTTATAAGCGTCTAAAGTTTTGTAAGGACTCTGAAAATGTGGTCATAGTGGTCTTAATGGGCTTAATGGGTCTTAGCGGCCTCCTTGCGGACCCAATTCGGTGCAGCCGTGGCAGAATGGTACATCGTCCGTTTCCAGAGCGAGTCCTCACAAGTTCGCTCTTCACTTTGGAGTTTTCTTTGGCTTTTTTCAAGAAGTGCCTCGAGGCACCAGTGTTCTTTCCATCGCATTTCATCTGGCGCATCACTTTCCATATATTTTTTTCCAAAGAAAAGCCACTTCTCCCCATAAAATCTCGTTGTCAAAGCAGGAATGTCACATATGATGCAGAAGAAAAATGTTCTACATTCACAAGCTTTCTCTTGAAAGTACATTCAAGAGATAGCTTATGACGGAAGTGCACCTAAAAAGGTTTTCCTCCTCAGTCCTCCTCCTCAGTCCTCCTCCTCAGTCCTCCTCCTCAGTCCTCCTCCTCAGTCCTCCTCCTCAGTCCTCCTCCTCAGTCCTCCTCCTCAGTCCTCCTCGACTCATGGACGAGCTTTCGAGATCACGGCTTTATTCAACAGGAAGTAACTCAGGAGTGTCACATAGGTTGCAGAAGTTTTGCTAGGACATTTTCAGAGTCCTAGCAAAACTTTAAGCAAAACCCGCTTATAACTTCTGACAGATCGTCATTTGGGAAAAACGGAATACATATTCGAAATCAGCATAAAATTCTGCGTCGAATGGTATAGGTCGCATAGCATTTGGCCGGCTCAGTCAGTTCCCATGAAGGCCAGTTCCAATGAAAGTTTAAAAATGACTGAATATCATAAAATTTAGCGTCGATCGATCCCCTCCGATCAACGACTCCAGATTAGCCTCTTGAACAAGCTGCCGGCAAAGAGTCAATTGACGATCAACTACACAAGAAGTGGAGGATCAGATGTGTTGGTGGCTTTCTCTAACTCCCATTTTTGTCCGTTTTCAGCTATTCATCACCTATTTGTCACATTTTTTACGATCCAAATTATTGGGCGTCGAACAATGGCATGATTTTGACATATCAATGGTCGTGCGAATCGCTGATCGACGACAATGAGAGCTGTGGATCGCCGTTGGCTCTTGAGTGAGTTTTGAAGTTACAAAGAATAAATATTAGGTTGAGAAAAAAATAATGCCCGTTTTTTGGGTGTAGCAATTTATTGCATTCTACGAGAAATAGCAATCATCAATCAGTAAGGTATTCTCCATTTTATCGATGACTTCTTTCTATCTTCACTTCCTTTCATATCGATCACTTTTATCGATGATTCAAGTCCAAGATTTGTGTTCATTTGTGAAAAATTGGGGATTTTTGAAGCCAAAATAGTTGTCGACGATTTTTTTGACTTGAGCATGATCATCAAACTTTTCTCCCATAATAAACTGTTTCAGGGACCAAAACAAAAAAATAATCCGAATCCTGGCTGCGAATCCTGACCGTTAACAAACCGAATCCTGATTGCGAATCCCAACTGCAAATCCTACCGGCGACACCCAACTGCGAATCCTACCGGCGAATCCCAACTGCGAATTCTACCGGCGAATCCCAACTGCGAATCCTGACTGTTAACAAAGCCAATCCTGACTTCGAATCCGGCTAAGTTAGAAGAGTGAGGCGCATGTGGAAGCAACTTCCAGCCCAGCTCGTCAATTTTTTTTTGAGTGACTTTTGCCGTGTGCGGTTTTGCGTTGTCGTGCAAAAATCGAATCTTTGATGGATTTAGTCCCAATCTTTTTAAAGCATCGTTAACTCTAGTCAATTATTTTGAATAGAAATCAACATCAATGTTTTCTCCTGGATTAGCTAACTCATAGTGCCCCAACCCTTTCGAGTTCCACCAGCAACAGAGCATTATTCTTATGAATATCAGGTTTGGGAGTGGTTTGCGGAGCTTGCCCTGGAGATAGCCACTGTTTCTTTCGTGTCATATTATCATAATAGATCCAAGCTTCATCAGAAGTTAGAATAGAGTTTCAAAAATCTCCAGATTTAGACTTTTAACGCAATATAAAGCTGTAATTAACACGTGTAGTTTTGTTGTCTTGAGTCAGTTCGTGCGGGACCCACTTTCCGCAGCGAATGCTTTCGCCAAGTTGGTGCAAATGGTCGGCAATTTCTGAATGATGAACATCAAATATCTCTGCTAGTTTCCGAGCTGTTAAAGTGGGATCGTCTTCGATAACCTTTAGCATATCATTATTTGAAACCTTTTAAGGGTGACCAGGATTGGGAATGAAGTCTTGGGAAAAAAAACCTCATTGTGAATGAAGTCTTGGGTCAGTCAGACCCATTTTCCACGGCGAATTTTTTCCCCGAGTTGGTGCAAATGGTTGTCGAATGTCTTCTGATCAACATCAAACATTTCTCGCGAGTCGTGAGCATTGGGTTCAAGTCAATTTCAATTCCTCAATGCGAAATTCAAAACGCGCATCATTTTTTCCTCAACCTAATACAATTTAAACTTCTTCTACAAATAAACATAATTTTAAAAGCACTTTAAATATCCAACCGCCAAACTCCGACAACTTCTAGACCGTTTTCAGGTTCAAACTGTCGCCTGCTCCAACAACAACGACAACAACAACGACAACAACCACCACACAATCAACAGTATCTACAAGTTCAACAACAACAATTGCAACAACACCAACTATGACAACAGAAGAGACGACTGTGAAAACCCCAACAACCATGATAATGACATCAACAACAACCACTATTAGACAAACCACGACCACCAAATCAAGTAAAAGACGGGCGTTGTTAACTAGCTTGCTTTTGTTTATTCTTGGACACTCTTTTTTGTAATTTATTTTGGTGCTTGAAGTAATTACTTTTACTGAACTAATCTGTCATATTCCACATGACCTTGTTGTACTTATTGTTACCTTTCAGTTGTTTACAATGTTGTGTATGTAAAAGCTTTTTCACCACAACATCTCAAAGAAATAGCATCGATTATCAAAGTTCAAGTACAAACAAAATCATCGATTTGTTGCCGAATTTAGCTCGTTGAACGAGGCCAACACTGGAGTTCTCGTAGTCGTAAACAGAGTAGAAATCGCGGAAGAAGGCATCGCCGAGAATCCATTTCGGATTATTTCGGACAAATTTACATCCAAAACAAGTTCCAAAGAAGAGAACGGGAGACGACTACGGAAAAGTACGAATTCCACTTAATTCTTTTCTTGCCTGGATATCTTTTCCTCCTCAAATATGGGAATTGAAGGGTACCCTCCCCATACAAAATTGGTCGCCCAAAAAGTGACTACTTTTGAAAAAGAGTTTGGATGAAAAGTGCTTAGAATGGTGTATATTATTCTAAAATGGTAAACATAAAATGTTTCGTGAAACGATCTTTTGATTTTTAATGATCAATTTTAATTTTAATGATTCATTTAAGAATCGATTGTTTATCTTCATCTGGCACACATCTAGCATTCTTCAGCACACACACACACACACGCACACACACACACACACACACACACACACACACACACACACATTTTGTCCGTCTCCAAACCGAGAGCAGTGTTTGCCGGGTGGACAACGAGTGTTCCCAACGCAATTGCAAACACCACTCTAAATTGGTGACGATTATTAGACTAGATTCAAATACATTATCAATTTACATATCATATAAACAGATAAATTTTGATTTTTAATGATCAATTTTAATATTAATGATTCATTTGAGAATCGATTGTTTCTCGTTGAAGAGAATGGTCGATGGTTTGTAGAATTTGAAACTCGAATGTTTTTTGACGATAGAATGTGAATGAAAAGTGTAAGCAAGAGTTTGCAAATAGAAAACGACCGTTGGTTGAATATCTTGTGACTTTTAAGTGACTTCTTGTGACTTCTTTGGACTTTTTGTGTTCAGTTATTTATACAGTCATGGACAAAAGTCTTGGCGGCTCCTGGGTGGCAATTTTCAAACGCAAATTTAGGAACCTTTTCGAGAGGCTATAAAAAAGTTATCACAAGTATTTTTGAGCATTTTTACTCTACTTTTAGTTATGACCAAGCATTGAACTCGAAAGTTTATTTTAAACAACAAAAATGAGCGTAAACGACAAAAAGGTCACAAAAACAATGGACAAAAGTCTTGGCGGCTTACTACAATACTCGTTCAGTTATTTATATTGTATCAAAAGTTTTCCCAGTAAGTTGGCTGATTTGAGGCGATTGGACGAACGATTGGACGAACTTTCGAAAGAATCCATAGATTTCTAGATCGAAAATGACCAAATATTTAATTTCAGGCAGATTCTGCGACTTTTGACACGTCCAAGAGTCAACACGTCCACGTCCAGAATCCAAGAGTCAACAGGAAATCGATTCCATCGTGAAAGCAGCCTTTGTTAGAGAGAACATTGAGTACATCTTTCACAAACAGATGCACGAACTCTCGTGGAGATCGACCAAATGTTAGCGGGCAGAGGATCACTCAAAATTGGACCGCAAAAGAAAAGCAATGGATTTGTTAGAAAAAATTAATTTGTTAGCAAAAAATGATTTACAAAAGTTATTTTCGAAAGTACACATCAATTTGTGAACACAGTAAATCTCGTGCTTTGTAATTAGGAAAATTCTACTCACAAAACAGCCGCAATTTTCCATGGAAACCAACAAAACTCCCAAATAGCATTGACTTTCAGTGCTTGTTTTGCCTTCAAACAGTTACAAAAATGATTTCAATTGCGATGCATTCACTTTTTCTTTTCTTTTTTATCACTCAATACTCAGCACGTCAATTTCGAGGAGAAATCGCGACCAGAAATGAGGTGAAATGTTTAAATAAGTTGAGCAATAGCAATAGTAATTTTTGAAAACATAAAGTAATAAAATCAGTGCAATGAGGATTAAAAATTCATGTTATATTTGATTAGATTAGAAGTTTGATTTGATTTGATTAGAAGTTTGATTTGATTTGATTAGAAGTGTATCTGTAAATCATTTTATCGTTTTATCAATCATTTTATCATAATTGAATCCTCTAAAATCCTTTTTAGGATACCAAAAAAAAGAAAATTGCTTCAGAAACGGTGTGTTTACATTTGAGCTTGATGTACGCTTTGTCATGTACTCAATAAGTTTAAATAAGTTGACACAATTTTACAAAAATCTAGAGCATCTAGCTCATCTAGAGCAAGGGAAAACTCGCCGTTTAGTCGTGGATACCAATCGATCACTTCTGCTTTTTTATCGATTCCGGCTCTCTCGACTATGTCTTCAAGTATCCGATAGTAGTTCTCATTCCAATATTGCCCCAAAAAGCATTTTCTCTAGGTTACCAATCTAAGCCTTCTTTTCTACTATGACACACAATGGGAAAATGTCAACAACAACGTGACATTGACGGTTTGTATTAGTGCTCCTATAGTCGAATTACGGTCAGAATTCTTAGAGCTTTCCCCACAGAAAAGAGGGTGTTGAAAGCTTGATTCTTTTGGTTTTATGTTTTTAGTTCTATATTTTTAGTTACAACAACGCCTCGCTCCTCTCGATCCACTCTCCAATCAAGTTGTATGTTCGTGCTGAATTCATCGACTAAAGTCGTTTAGCAACCACTCTTCGGCGACACACCAATGCAGAAATGTCACGAAGAGAAAATAAATGGAATTCGGATGATGATTTGTGAAGGAACTCGACGATTTATGTTCGTCTTTTGCCTGTTTGCCAAGCTTTTTATTTCGTTCTTAGTGCTGACAGTCAACTTTCAGATCTGTCCATTCTCGTTGCTGGTATCTAGTGATCATGCAAGAGAATCTCGTTGTCTCAAATTCCAGTCTTGAAACAGGTTTGAGACAAAAACTGCTTAAGTTGAAGTAATGCTTAGAGTTCGATTTGGTGTGGGGAAACGGCAAGGAAGCAGGCGCCTTGTTGTGGCATTTTTCGGCAGACGAATACTGTAAGGACTGGATTTCGCTGGATTTCGCTGGATATTTCACTCGATTTTCCTTAAACTTAGCTCAATTTTGCCGTATTTTTCCTACAAACTCTACACTCTAAACCTGCTTAACGAGTCCGTGCAAAATTTCCAGACAGTCTGCGTCGCTCTTCGACTTTTTACTACCCAAAGCTCCTTCGAGCATGAAACCCAATTCTCCCGCAAGCCCTGATTCTAGGCTTTATTTTGATACTAAACATGGCTAAGTTCTGTTTTACCATTCTTTAGATTTCGACCAATCTTTCGGGCTCGATAAGCTTAACGAGTCCAGAAAAGTCTTTATCTAAAATGATCGAAATCTAAAGAATGACAAAACAGAACCTAGCCATGTTTAGTATCAAAATAAAGCCTAGAATCAGGGCTTGCGGGGGAATTGGGTTTCATGCTCAAAGAAGCTTTGGGTAGGAAAAAATCGAAGAGCGAGGCCGACCGTCTGAAAATTTTGCACAGACTCGTTAAGCAGGACATTTTCATTCAACAGGTAAAGAAAAAACTTAGATCTCTTACCAATTAATGTCGTCTTCTACACGTTCAATTTCATCATTTTTGGTGTATCTTTGGCTGTGGCAAGTGAGATTTTTGGGCTTTTGTTTTAATTAGTAAATTATTGAGAACTTTATTGAGAAATTAACTTGAAATATTAACTTTAAAGTGTTAAAAAACCTAAAGTCAACCTTAATTACAATCAAAAAATTAATTTTGAGCAATTTCAGTGAGACTCAAATCCCGCAACACCTTTCCATCAAGTTATTACCTCTATCAGCTCTCGATTCTCATCGAATGCGTCGCTTTACTCTCGTTCTCAATTTACTATTGTAAGTTGAAAAGAATTTCAATTGATCAAAGTGATATTTTCGATACTTATTCTCTCGATGGAATCGGCGTTGTTTTGTGGAAAACGATTGGTTATGTTGCAAGGTAAGATTTTGACTCAAATGTGCTTACTTTTGTTTATAGAAGTCTTCGGAAAGGCCTCTTTCATCTATACTTACTTGTCATTGCCAAAGTTCACATTGATACAAGGTTAGTAAAAGATCTCAAAAAGCAAAAGCAAAAAGCAAAAAGGTTCCTAGCAAAAAAACATTTTTGTAACGTATGAAAAGTGTTTTTTTCTTCACCCAACGTTCTCATCCCGCTGAATTCAAACAAAATTTACAAAAAATCGCAGAACCTTTTTTAGTTATAGCTGTCTAAGGCTTTTAGCTGTCTAAAGCTGTCTAAAGCTGTCTAAGACTGGCTAAGACTGGTTAAGGCTGTCTTAGACTGTCTAAGGTTGTCTAAAGCTGTCTAAAGCTGTCTAAGACTGTCTAAGGATCTCTAAAGCTGTTTAAGGCTTTCTAAAGATGTCTAAGACTCTCTAAGGCTGTCTAGGGCTGTCTAAGGCTGCCTAAAGCTGTCTAAGGTCTAAAAAATCAAAGTTGTAAGATTTGAAATCTATTCAGATAGAAAGAATACTTTTTAAAATAAAGGAAAAAAAGATTTAAACATGTTGATTGTTGGAGAAAAATGAATTTTACTAGTTTCTGGTCTCCCAAAAGTATAGATACTTGTCAGAAAAATGGAAATAACAACATTTTATTGGCTAAAAACTGCAACAAATCATCATTAGCTAGTTTGCTCACAAGTAGCTTGAATCACATCACAAAGACGATCAGAGATTTTATCATAAAGCGTATCAATTAACTTTTGATCGAGATTGCTCCATGCCTTACAGTTGCCTACAGTTGCCTACAGTTGCCTACAGTTGCCTACAGTTGCCTACAGTTGCCTACAGTTGCCTACAGTTGCCTTACAGTCCTTTTCAGTTGATCAATATACCAAAAAAACGTTTTCCTTCTAGTTGGTTGATTCTAGTTTGTTGATTCTAGTTCGAAATCGCTTCCCTCTCGCATTCTCCTCAACACTCTTCAATCATGTCAAACATTTCTCTTCACTATTCTTGCCATCATTTATGCGCTCTTTTCAATGAACTTGATGTCAAATGTGTGTTTATTTCAATTACTCATCAAGACCCATTTCAGACTTTCGACCCAACCCGAATCCAACACGAACTGATCACTTCTTGTGGTCTTTCATTTATCATTGTCCATGTATGTGAATCTAATTTTATAAGTGATTGTGATAAAGTGATTTTAGATGATTTTTTGGACTATTTGGCTCTTTCTTTCAATGATATCTCAAAAAAGACAATTTCTTCTTACCAGCGTCATGAGTTTTTGGTAGGTTTTAACTTTGAAAGCGATAGGTCTTCGGTAATAATAGTCTTCAGTAGTCTTCAGTAATAATGCATTCTACCCTTTCCTGTTATTAAAAAAATTAAAACGAATCTGCTGGTTTGGTTTTAGGTTTTTCCTTGGTCTCTTCACATGGTTGATGGCGAATTTTGTTCTAAGTGACACTGTGAGAAAAGAAGTAATCGATTTGATAGAATGCTCGACAACCGTTTATTCTTTTCTCTTCTTTCTCGTCAGTTACCATTTCTTTTTCCCCATTTAATCTCTTTTCAGATCTTCAACAGCTTTCAGCCTCCAACAACAAATCAACCAGTAAGAATCTGTGTTTTTTATAGGTGTACTTGTAATTGTATTGTACTTGTAAAGGCCAAAACATTACTTTAGATTTCTTTCAATCAAACGGAAAGAGAGTCGAGTATCTACATAAAAGATATTTCACCGGAAATCTTGACTGAACGAAAGAAGGAAATGAATGAGAATGATTGAAAGAAGATTTTGTGGAAGATTTTGTAGAAGAGTTCGAGAAACAAACAACAATTACTTCTTTATAAAGATTAAAAGAGAATATTTCCGGTTTTTTATAAGTACCATAAACAATTACTTTCATCTTTCTTAACACTACACACAGTTTTGATCTGTGATTCGATCTGTGATCCGATCTGTGATTCGATCTATGATTCGATCTGTGATTCGATCTGTGGTTCGATCTGTGATTCGATCTGTGATTCGATCTGTGATTCGATCTGTGATTCGATCTGTGATTCGATCTGTGATTCGATCTGTGATTCGATCTGATCGATCTGGTCGATTCAATCGATCTAGTCTGTGATTCGGTGACTGTTGTAAAGTTATCAAAAGCAATTGGGCACTTTACTTTTTGAAGTTATTGTCGATGAACTTATTGATTGCTTTTTATTGTATACCACTAGTTTTTGCCAAAATAAAGTAAGTCAAAAAGATAAATACTGTTCAAAAAACATAAGCAAAAAGCCATCATAAACAAATTCTCAAATCAATCACCATCAAATCGTTGTCAACGGACATCCACCAGCTGAGGGTTCATTTCCGTTTCCTATCCGAGTTGCCACGATTCTAAAAGATCGGTACAAGAATTTCAAATATCAAAAATTTGTTCTTAGGCATTTCCATCATCAATGTCGTGGCTTGATTATTGCACCAAACTGAATTCTAATCAGTTGAGCATTGTTTATTCGGAAGACCAATCCACACAGGGATCACGAGTACAAAGTAGTGCTTTATCTTGTATTCGGCCATAACAAATGGTTAATAGATTTATCTTCTATAGTTTTTATCTTTATTTTTATTGACTAAAACCATTGCTTCCTTTTTAAAGTCCAAATGGAAGCGAACAAGTGCCAAAAGAAGATCTGTGCATGTTGGCCATAAGTCAAAGTATAAACTTGTAGCATAGTTTTTAAATATAATACTTATTTACTAGTTAGTAAAACTATTACAAAATAAAATAGATAAAAATTAAGCCGGATTCTATGTCGACGCTGCTCGAAGATGTGCTGCTGGATACCAGCGAAAATCCGAAATCTCTACGAAAATTCAGTACAGGACTCCTGTTTTCCGACAAACTTCGAGGCTGAATTTCTTGATGTTCTTGATGGCTAGCACCCATCTAAATTGCACATTAACAAGTCAGAATTAGATGGAGATTCGCAAGGTACCCATCGCAAGTCGATCCGAGCCCTAGAAGTATGATTTTCAGGTCAATCCCCAAATAGTAAGTGAATGTATGGAGTAAATGTATGGAGTTACGTACTTTTTGGAATTTGGAAAAAAAACCGATTTGGAAAAGTTCGTGATTTCAGCACATTTTCATTGCTGCAGCTCTTATCTAGATAAAGGCGATTTGTTTTTTCTTTTTCCTGAGGCAACACTTTTCCAAATCGCTTTGCATAAAAAGGGCCAAATTAGTAGTAAATTAGTAGACACAAATCAGTTTGCTATTTCCTGAAAATGTCCACCAAATCGATGGCTTTCGCCTTGCTCTTGCTCTTCTCGTTGCTCCAATGCACCGAAGCCGGTCCGCTCGCCTACTATTTGTGTGTTTGTGGTTTGTTTTTCATCATCGATATTTCAAAGTTTAATAATAAAAGCTAACAAGGCTCACCAAATGAAATGAGCCATAGAATTTTACGCTGATTCCGAATATCTGATTCGTTTTTGCAAAATGATTCTGAATCGCGCGCGATTTGACAAACAAGTTTTTGGCCTCTCTTTATAAAACTTAGGGGCGCACTAGATGAAAATGGCTGCATGGTGTGCTGGATAGTGGGTTAGGATACGGAGTAGCTACTCGTGTTTTCGTATCCGCTCACTTTTCCCTTTTTTTTGTAAGCTAATTTAACTGAACGTTGAACGTTGAAGTGATAGCTCTTCATACGATATGAATACAATGCCGTTAGTGGCTTCGAAGAAGACTTTTTAAGGTCAAAAACTTGTTGAAACAACGCTTGACTTGAAATTCTTTTCGTGCAGATTCTTTTCTCTATTTTTCTTCTTTAGCTTGCACAGCTATTCCAACCGCCGCGACGGCTGGAGCCGCGGCTCCAATATCGGCTGTTTGTATCGCCGCATGTGCCCCACTCCTCGTCGCCGGTCCAATATAATTGATCAATTCGGCCAAAACAACGCTGATCCTCCACAACTAGCTCATCAACAGACAATCTTGACTTCAATATTTTTTTTTCAATAAATCTATACGTGTACATATCAAAAAGTCAAATCAATTTTACTTTTCAATCAAAATAACTCTTGATCGAAACTTCTCGAAACAAAACCATTTGCAAATAGGTGACGATTTTTGTGAACCATTCTTGTATCTTTGTTACTTGCGAGAACACCACAGCCTTGCGCTTGCCCACTTTACCCAGTTTTGCAAAGTTTCTTCTGTACCTAAACCGAAACTATCACTAAAAGAATGTGCATCTATAAACATCTATATGAACTCGAACTAGATAAGAGCTTTTAGTGAATGTATGGAGTAAATGTATGAAGTTACTTACTACTTGGGAATTGGCCTGAAAATCATACTTCTAGAGCTCGGTTTGACTTGCAATGGGTACCATTCGAATCTCCATCTAATTCTGACTTGCTAATGTGCAATTTAGATGCGGTGCTAGCCATCAAGAACATCAAGAAATTCGAGCTCGAAGTTGACCACTCGGGGAAATCACAGTGATGCGCTCAAAATGATTTGGACGGTGGTATTTTTTTTCTCTTATGAGTGATCGACTTGCACTCAAAAAAAGTCCTACTCTGATCAGTTTCTAATCTTATGAGCCTAAAAGCTCTTATCTAGTTCAAGTTCTGACTATAAAATCTTTGATTCTCCTGAGTTCGGCGCAAGGTCAAATTTTCCAACTTTTTCTGTTGCAAATCTTTTGAGCAAAGCAAGGCAAATGATTTTTGAGCAAATCAGCAAATAAATCATTGTCAAATTTGGTTTCTCTATGTATTTTTTAGTCCAAAAAAGTGTTTTTCGAAAAGATTTTGGCTCGGCGCTTCACAAAAAAAGTTCAAAAAGGCCATTTTTGGTCATTTTTGACCGTTTTTTGGCCATTTTTGCCCGTTTTTGAACTTTTTTTGAGGAGCTATGTGCGCGCGCCAAATTATAAAAGAATCCTATCCAATAAGAATATCTGATCACCCAAAAGTAAACCTTCTTAGCTCACTTCTACAAATTTCATTTTTATTCCAGAAGCTGTGACATCAGTCCGGCCGCTTGCGAGCCACCCGATATTAATGCCCAGATTTGTGCCAACAGCGTCCACTTACTGGCTGCACAACCGACGTTACTACTATTATTATGATTGATTGATCCAATTAATGACTAATCAACAACTGCAAAATGTTCTTTTCTTGATAAAACATCGTAAAAAATCAAATAAGATTCCTTTCTAAACAATTGATATCAAAATAATTGATGCTATCGACTTGATAAATCCATTACATTAAAAATATAGCAATTGTAAAAAAAACATGTTTTAAAGATCAAAATTCTAAATTTCGAATTTTGATCTTATATTTTCTGCTCAGATCTTAAAACAAAGACTTTTCCCCAGCAAAATTCAACACCGACTTTTCCCTCTAAAAGATAACACTTTTCCTTTTTAGCCTCTAGCTTATAGCGTGAAGACTTGAGTGCCGAGATAAGAAACATCATTTGCAATTATGGCTTTCACAAAAAGTTTGCTTTTATTTGCACTTGTCTCAATAGTTCAATGTTTTGAATGCCCGAATGGAAGCCAACCAATGCCGAATGAAGATGTTTGTATGTATGCGATCAATCAAAGTAAGCAGTTTTCGTGGAAATCTTATTTTAAATGATAAACTATTGTATAACTAAAACAGTTTTTATTCATACTCTTTACATTTTTGATTATCTAGATACTTGAGTCTAGTTAAAAAGCTAACTATTGGGTTGGTGAGTTGAAAACTGCGGGACTTTGAACTAAAATTTCTTGAACATAAAACCATGAATTCATTCCAAATAATTTCCATTATTATTGACGACTTCTGCCCATTTTACAGGCAATTTGCGGATTCCTCTTTCGTAGTAGGATTTTGGTTTGTGTGTGAGACAAGTGTGAGACTCAAAAATGGAGGACTGGAGATGTCCAATAGAGATTTTGAGCACTTTCTTCAAAAGAAACCCATTTTGGTGTCAATAGAAAAGTTGTAGAGAATCAAAAATTAGGCTTATAGCCAAATTTCCAAAAAAATACACTTAGTAGTTTCGCTTAAAATGCAAGCTTTGTGGAAATTCGTAAATTTCGCATTTCTTGAAAACCAGTTTTTGAATCGTTCTGAAAATTTGGATATAAGCTTGATTTTTGATTCTCTACAACTTTTCTATTGACACCAAAATGGGTTTCTTTTGAAGAAAGTGCTCGAACTGTCACATATGACAATAGCCCGCAGTTTTCAATTCACCAACCCAATAATATCCGAGATTATCGGACGGATCGTTGAACTCAATGATCACTTTTTCAATTGAAATATTATTAGAAATCAAATTTTTGAATTTATAATTAGTTTACAAATTTTGCGTTTAGCATTTAATTTCAGATGAATTCTATTACGATGTGATTCGACGATGTGGCGCTCTCGGCGCGATCCCGGCAAAAATCCAAAATCTCTACGAGAACTCGTATCTTTTTGTCGCTTTGCAACAAGGTTTTTGCTTTTTATTTTTTTTGTAAAACCAAAAACTTTAGAATTAAACAATGCTGCACCGTTTATTGGAGTCGAGCGAAAGCGTAACAATGTTTGGACGTACGCCGATGGGACACCGTTGAGCTATCAGAATTGGGCTCTCAGTGAGTTGACAAGGCTTATTTAGTCTGAAATTGAAGTTTATTTAATTAGAAATAAATCAAATCCATACTAATCAATGAATTTTTTTTGATTTCTGCTTGATCTTAGATGAACCAAACAACTCTTCAAACTCGTCCGTTTGTGCTATCATGGATCCATCATCGGGCAAATGGATTTCAACTGAGTGCACATATGCTCGTCCATTTGTCTGCTCAATTGATGGAGATGGTAAAAGATTTATTCATTGAATATCTTCATACATAAGGCTAATTCTAGTTTCTAAAACATTTTTCAAAAACAATTACATTCTAGCTGCCCAATGTCCCACTGGTTGGGTCTACAACAATCAAACGAACTTTTGCTATTATGTACAGGTTAGTTGGACATTTTCAAGGATTTTCAAGGATTTTTGAGTTCAAAAAACAAAACGATTCTAGGATTTTACCTTTCAAGATGGAGCTCACTGGTTCTACTACACTTTTACTGGAGCCGAGCAAAATTGTCAGCGCAAAAAGGCGCATTTGGTTTCGATTCACACGCCTGAGGAGGACACCTTTGTTCGACGTTGGTTTATCTAACATTTATAATAACTTGCAAGCATTTTCATTCAGAACTTGTCACTTCGGACATTCGAAATGCCACTGATGCAAATCCCTGTGCCAATCAGTATGCATGGATCGGGTTGACAGGCACTGGGGCACTTGGAGTCGGCACATGGATCGACGGATCACCCGTCGACTACAGTGGACACGCGACTGTTGGAAATTCCAATTGGGGGGTCAGCTATTCTTTTTGACATTACCTGATATTTATTAAATTTAAATTTGCTAGTTAAACCAATCACTACCAATCTAAACTGTCGTTTTAGATTGGTAGTGACGCTGGCTGCAGTGTTAGCGGTTGGAATCCGATGGGAACTGGAGCTCGTTACGTTTGCAAAATGGCAGCAAAGGGAAAAGCCACAGCAAAGCTTGACTAATAAACTTTTTAACACAAAAATCAATTTCAATTTGTAATTTAACAAATCTTTGTTACTTCCCCCTTATTGGCCTAGCAATGATTAGTATCCAAGAGGCTGTGGCTATGGTGTTCTCGCAAGTAACGAAGATACAAGAATGGTTGATAAAAATCGTCACCTATTTGCAGATGGTTTTGTTTCGAGAAGTTTCGATCAAGAGTTATTTTGATTGAAAAGTAAAATTGATTTGACTTTTTGATATGTACACGTATAGATTTATTGAAAAACATATTGAGAAGTGTCGACAAGTCTTGTTATTAGGTAAAGGTTTCGATAAAAAATATAATGGAGACAAATAGTCCTACAATAGGAATCGAAAAACTTAATCACAAAAAACACAAGTTAAGATTGATTGTTGATGCTTGGCATGAGCTAGTTGTGGAGGATGAGCGTTGTTTTGTCTGAATTGATCAATCATACTGGACCGGCGCCGAGGAGTGGGGCACATGCGACGATACAAGCCGCCGATATTGGAGCCGCAGCTCCAGCCGTCGCAGCGGACGGAATAGCTGTGCAAGCTAAAGAAGAAAAATAGAGAAAAGAACCTGCACAAAAAGAATTGAAGTAAAGCGTTGTTTCAACAAGTTTTTGACCTTAAAAAGTCTTCTTTGAAGCCACTAACGGCATTGTATTCATATCGTATGAAGAGCTATCACTTCAACGTTCAACGTTCAGTTAAATTAGCTTACAAAAAAGCAAAAAAGTGAGCGGATTCGAAACCACGAGTAGCTACTCCGTATCCTAACCCACTATCCAGCACACCATGCAGCCATTTTCACCTAGTCCGCCCCTAAGTTTTATAAAGAGAGGCCAAAAACTTGTTTGTCAAATCGCGCGCCATTCAGAATCATTTTGCAAAAACGAATCAGATATTCGGAATCAGCGTAAAATTCTATGGCTCATTTCATTTGGTGAGCCTTCTTAGCTTTTATTATTAAACTTTGAAACATCGATGATGAAAAACAAACCTGACACACACAAATAGTAGGCGAGCGGGCCGGCTTCGGTGCATTGGAGCAACGAGAAGAGCAAGAGAAACGCGAAAGCCATCGGTTTGGTGGACATTTTAAGAAATAACAAACAGCTTGGTGTCTACTGAAACTACTGATTTGGCCCTTTTTATGCAAACCGATTTGGAAGAGTGTTGCCTCAGGAAAAATAAAAACCTTCGTGCTTTCAACTAGATAAGAGCTGCAGCAATGAAAATGTGTTGAAAGCACAAAGGTTTTTGTTTTTCCTGAGGCAACACTTGTCCAAATCGGTTTACATGGAAAGGGCTAAACTGCACAAACTGTGGATTTCGAAATTGTTAATGTTTCACAAATGAAAACTTGATAATGTTTAATTACTTAATCAGAAGTTGACTTTAAATTTAGCAAACTCACTGACTAGTGATAACAAGGAAGAGCAGGAAGAGAAGATTCGTTTACTTGGCAATGAATGCAATCTGGAAGCCAGGGATTGCTTCTTGGATTTTAAGGATTAATTGATTCTTGTTTCTTGCTTTTTACCTGCCATCCCTTGGGCACATTGAGCTGTTAAACCTGATGATTGCATCCAATCAGTTCACCCGTTGCCGACCGTTTTTTCCTCTTCAATCCGCAAGCAACATCTAGAATCGATACATTTTGTCAGCCTTTTCAATCTATCAAAGATCTTATTTAATTGCATAACTTTAAATGTGCTATACAGCTTGAATGTTTTTCAATCATAGAAACTCCTATTTGCAAATAGCTTTTTGAAATGTATTTTCGACAAAAACCAGTTAGCATCTATCGGCTAAACTTAAAAAAGCGGAAGAGAAAGCCCGAAAGAAACTGGCAAAGCAAAAAGATTGGCCGAGTGAGTTGTGATTAGATAAAATAATTATTTAAATTGTACGAAATACTATAATTTATGCCAGTTTTTTTTAATTTTTAAATCAATTTCAAACACAAACAAATACGGGAAAGAAGAGACCATTTAAACCGAGTGAGGTCGAAAGGTCAACTACAAAACTGTTCACTAAATGTTAATCAGTAAACAATTTAACAGTCTTATAATCAATTTTTTAAAACAACAACTCAAAAATCGACAAATTCCTTTCTGAAGGGCAACAATCGTCAAGCGATCCGTCATGCAATTAAATAAGATCTTTGATAGATTGAAAAGGCTGACAAAATGTATCGATTCTAGATGTTGCTTGCGGATTGAAGAGGAAAAAACGGTCGGCAACGGGTGAACTGATTGGATGCAATCATCAGGTTTAACAGCTCAATGTGCCCAAGGGATGGCAGGTAAAAAGCAAGAAACAAGAATCAATTAATCCTTAAAATCCAAGAAGCAATCCCTGGCTTCCAGATTGCATTCATTGCCAAGTAAACGAATCTTCTCTTCCTGCTCTTCCTTGTTATCACTAGTCAGTGAGTTTGCTAAATTTAAAGTCAACTTCTGATTAAGTAATTAAACATTATCAAGTTTTCATTTGTGAAACATTAACAATTTCGAAATCCACAGTTTGTGCAGTTTAGCCCTTTCCATGTAAACCGATTTGGACAAGTGTTGCCTCAGGAAAAACAAAAACCTTTGTGCTTTCAACACATTTTCATTGCTGCAGCTCTTATCTAGTTGAAAGCACGAAGGTTTTTATTTTTCCTGAGGCAACACTCTTCCAAATCGGTTTGCATAAAAAGGGCCAAATCAGTAGTTTCAGTAGACACCAAGCTGTTTGTTATTTCTTAAAATGTCCACCAAACCGATGGCTTTCGCGTTTCTCTTGCTCTTCTCGTTGCTCCAATGCACCGAAGCCGGCCCGCTCGCCTACTATTTGTGTGTGTCAGGTTTGTTTTTCATCATCGATGTTTCAAAGTTTAATAATAAAAGCTAAGAAGGCTCACCAAATGAAATGAGCCATAGAATTTTACGCTGATTCCGAATATCTGATTCGTTTTTGCAAAATGATTCTGAATGGCGCGCGATTTGACAAACAAGTTTTTGGCCTCTCTTTATAAAACTTAGGGGCGGACTAGGTGAAAATGGCTGCATGGTGTGCTGGATAGTGGGTTAGGATACGGAGTAGCTACTCGTGGTTTCGAATCCGCTCACTTTTTTGCTTTTTTGTAAGCTAATTTAACTGAACGTTGAACGTTGAAGTGAGAGCTCTTCATACGATATGAATACAATGCCGTTAGTGGCTTCAAAGAAGACTTTTTAAGGTCAAAAACTTGTTGAAACAACGCTTGACTTGAAATTCTTTTTGTGCAGATTTTTTCTCTATTTTTCTTCTTTAGCTTGCACAGCTATTCCGTCCGCCGCGACGGCTGGAGCTGCGGCTCCAATATCGGCGGCTTGTATCGTCGCATGTGCCCCACTCCTCGGCGCCGGTCCAGTATGATTGATCAATTCAGACAAAACAACGCTCATCCTCCACAACTAGCTCATCAACAATCAATCTTGGCTTGTGTTTTTTGTGATTAAGCTTTTCGATTCCTATTGTAGGACTATTTGTCTCCATTATATTTTTTATCGAAACCTTTACCTAATAACAAGACTTGTCGACACTTCTCAATATGTTTTTCAATAAATCTATACGTGTACATATCAAAAAGTCAAATCAATTTTACTTTTCAATCAAAATAACTCTTGATCGAAACTTCTCGAAACAAAACCATCTGCAAATAGGTGACGATTTTTGTGAATTACTCTTGTTTTTTCGTTACTTGCGAGAAAACCACAGCCTCGCGCTCGGCCACTTTACCCAGTTTTGCGAAGTTTCTTCTGTACCGAAACTATCACCAAAAGAATGTGCATCTAGAATATATTAAAAACTACTGCGAAATTGTTGTATTTGATGGAATCGCTACGAATAGAAATGCGTTTGGTTAAAGCTGTGGTTAGAGGTTAGAGGGTTAGAGCGGTTAGCGCGAGCACATGTAGCTGCAAATCATCTCAAAGATTTCTTGGATACTAATCATTGCTAGTCCAATAAGGGGGAAGTAACAAAGATTTGTTAAATTACAAATTGAAATTGATTTTTGTGTTAAAAAGTTTATTAGTCAAGCTTTGCTGTGGCTTTTCCCTTTGCTGCCATTTTGCAAACGTAACGAGCTCCAGTTGTAATCGGACTCCAACCGCTAACACTGCAGCCAGCGTCATTACCAATCTAAAACGACAGTTTAACTAGCAAATTAAAATTTAATAAATATCAGGAAATGTCAAAAAGAATAGCTTACCCCCCAATTGCCATTTGCAGCAGCCGCGTGTCCACTGTAGTCGACAGGTGATCCGTCGATCCATGTGCCGACTCCAAGTGCCCCAGTGCCTGTCAACCCGATCCATGCATACTGGTTGCCACAGGGATTTGGATCGGTGGCATTTCGAATGTCCGAAGTGACAAGTTCTGAATGAAAATGCTATTATGAATGTTAGATAAACTAACGTCGAACAAAGGTGTCCTCCTCAGGCGTGTGAATCGAAACGAAATGCGCCTTTTTGCGCTGACAATTTTGCTCTGCTCCACCGAAAGTGTAGTAGAACCAGTGAGCTCCATCTTGAAAGGTAAAATCCTAGATCATTTTTTTTTTTGAACTCAAAAATCCTTGAAAATATCCAACTAACCTGTACATAATAGCAAAAGTTCGTTTGATTGTTGTAGACCCAACCAGTGGGACATTGGGCAGCTAGAATGTAATTGTTTTTGAAAAATGTTTTAGAAACTAGAATTAGCTTTATATATGAAGATATTTAATGAATAAATCTTTAACCATCTCCATCAATTGAGCAGACAAATGGGCGAGCATACGTGCACTCAGCTGAAAGCCATTTGCCCGATGATGGATCCATGATAGCACAAACGGACGAGTTCGAAGAGTTGTTTGGTTCATCTAAGATCAAGCAGAAATCAAAAAAATTCATTGATTAGTACGAATTTGATTTATTTATCATTAAATAAACTTTAATTCAAGACTAAATAAGCCTTG